CTGTTTTGAATTGTATTCTGATGTTTCTATTGAACTGATTTGAATTGTGTTTCATGGCTTTTATTTGAAAATTTGCCCAGAGTCACTTGGACAGTGAGATGGGTGGTATCTAAATTTGATAAATAATAAATAAATACAAGAAAATTAGATAGTTCTACTTGCTCATGAAATGATTAGGAGTGGAGCTGACATTGAAGGACACTTTTTATCTGAAGGGTTATCTCTTTCCTTCCTCTTATCTCCTCCACATATCTTCACATCATGAAATGCAAGAAGGTGTCAGTTATGGTCAAGCACTCATGGGACACAGTTCCCAGATAAACCTAACTACTGCCTGTCTAGTATCTTTTTTAGTGAGAGACTTAAATTCTTCTCAGCTCATATTGTCACCTTTTTAAAAACAATGGTTATGCTTGTTATTTTGTGGGGCTTTTTAAATAGTTGTGTTTACCTGCTGCTTAATTTTATGTTAAAATGGTTTCTTTCCTAGGGGGAAAATGGAGGGAAAAATCCTTCTTACATTTTGATTTTAGTAGTCAGTAATTAACATATTTTAATTTGTTTTGCTTTGAGATGATTGTTTGTGCTTTTCTGGATGTGGCTTTCATTAGATTTTAATTTTTGTGTCATTTATATTTATACAAAGCACCCTGAGAATAATTTGTTTTAGAGCAAATAATTCATTAATATAAGAATATTATTATTTGGTTAAGGTTCAAGGATTATACTCCATCTTCCCTGGATATTTGGCATTTATCAAGAAAGCTTCCATTCTTCTGTTGACGTTTCAGTCTGCTCCTCATATACTGAAAACGAGATGAACACTTGTGAAGTTTGTAGCTGCACAGTATCTCCTGATACTGTGTAGCTTCAAACTACACAAGTGTTCACCTGTTGTTTTCAATATATGAGGAACAGACAAAATAACTAAACACAAACTATGCACTCAGTTGAGAACCCCACAAATAATTAATAATTGTTGCTGTTTATTGCACCCTACAAGACTATGTATGATTACTCCTACTATTAAAACCATGGAATCTGGCAACGCAGATGTCTCAAGGTCAAATTATGTTCAGGATGTATTTATCTCTTAGGCCCTTCTACAAATAGAGGCCATACTATCTGGGACCAATGTTGCTCTCCAGTGTCTCCAGGACATCAAGAGGTTTGTTTGGAGATTGGGAAAGTGGCACAATTAATTTTAGGTAAGCTTCCGCTTTTGCAGAAACATTGAAAGATAGATAACTCTTGCCTTTCCCACCTAATTATTCCAGAGATTTCCCTTTCTTTTCTACAGTCAAGGTGGATTGGGGTTGAGGGCTCAGAAGAGTGGCTTTACTACTCAGCATCAACCGTGGCAAGTGGGTCTTTTCCTAAATTTCCCCTTAATCCAAAAAGCAAACACAACAAAGTTAAAATAAGGATGTGAACAGGCACTTTCAGGACATTATTTTTGGCACTCATATTGCACTGCTGAAGGGAGCATTGGAAGAATAGAGCACTGGAAGACACTCAATTCTGGCTCTGGACTTGTGGCAGAGAGGTTGCCAACTGTGTGGAAATGCTTTTAGTGGAGAGACAAAAGGGGAAGGGCCATAGCTTACTGACAGAATCCATGCTTTCAAAGACAATTTGCCAAAGCCTTGTCCTCCGCAGGTGCACTGGGTAAAAATTTCCAGAATTTCAGCTACAAATCATGGGTTAATACAATGCGTGAACCCAGGCAATTACTGGACTAGGTAAATAGTTTGAATGAATGAACAAATTCATATGCTCAATATTTTGGCTACATGAAAGTTTAAAATATAATTTTTCTATAACAATTGCTGTCAAACTTATAGTTTTATATTGCTGATGATTGATTACACATTGTACATTTCTGCAGCCTGGGAGACTTGATCCAATAGTATTTTACCACTTCCCAAATGTATAAACAGGATCATGGCAATATAATGACCCCCAGAAGGAAGCAAAGCAAACCTGCAGATGAGATTTAGCCTCTATTTAAAGAAAAATATGTGAATACATTTGGAGCTCAAATTTACTGCAGCTTTCTCTAACCTGACATACACAAGTATGTCAACTTGAACCAAGGGCTCAAATGCTACCATATCATCCCCAGCCAAGCAGGCTATGCTGGCTAAGAAACAAAATGGAGCTGAAGATTTTCCATACAGAAGAAAGCTAGATTCGAGAGATATGATTGGGACTGGAAAAAATTAGGTTAGAGTCGTAACCTAATTAGAGTCATTCAGTCTAGAAGTATACTTGACTAGTCATGCAACTGACTAGATTAGGCTGAGATGGGATTGGATGATTTGTGATTCCAAGTTATATTGTGGGAACTCATTATTCCGTTATTATTTAGCATGTTGAATAAACCAGTCCATCAGATTAAGCCATAATATTGATAATTTGGATTCATCAGGATATCCTTCTAACCTCAGAGGAAAGACACGGTATTAAAAGGATACAGTGTAATAAATAGGGTACACAATACATGCTAAAGAGGTGAAATATTCTCACTAAACACTTTTTGTTATCTTCAGCCCTTCACAATGTGTCCTCAGCTGTTCTAGCTTTAAGATTTCAGTCTATTGCCAATTTATGTTTTTGCTTACAGATAATCTCTTATGCCTCATGAAAAATCTTGGAGATGACCTGATGAAGGAGTGGCATTTTTCGTGTTCCTGTTGTCTGGTTAATGCTCTGCAGGATGCTCTTTCCTCCATTCATTGCTGTTCATGGGCAGTTTGGTTTGGGCTGCAGAAGAATCCAGATATCTATTCTGTGGTGATACCTACTTGAATGATGCCTGACCTCTTTTGTTTATTTGTTTGTTTGTTTTGTTTTGTTGTTGTTGTTTTTTTGCAATTCATATTCAGACATTACTTAGGTTCCTTATATACACTAGTATACTGGTCTTCTGGAAGACCACTAGCCTTTTTATTACACATGTTTAGTGGTCTTTCAAAAAGTGGTCAGTAAAAAGATGGGCTGTCAGTCAATTTAAACTGGAAAAAAGGTATTGCTTCTGTCCCAAATGAGGTTTCTACTAGAGAGTTTCAGCCTCATAAATCGGTGACTTCTTTTTTGTTGACAATTGATTTGGAGTGGAGAGAAAGCCAAAGGATTGTATGGATCCCTGCCAGTGGTGGGTTGCCCCCGTTTCGGACCAGTTCGCAAGAACCGGTAGTAAAACTGGCGGGAGGCCCCGCCCACCACCCCGGATGTCGTCATTGCCGATCTGCGCATGCGCAGAAGCAAGGCACGCGTATGAGTGAAGCCAGCGCACATGTGCGATCCCGTTGCAAACCGGTAGTAAAGGTAAGTAGAACCCACCCCTTATCCCTGCCCATAAATGATCCCCCAGAGGAACTAGACACACAAGACTATTTGCAAGATTTGCTACTGAGGTCAATTAGAGTTTGATTATCAGGGCACTACAAATTATGTTGGCATATTTTTCTGCCCTCTTGGGAGCTAGTGAAATTACAAGGCAGGGGTTCTACTTACCTTTACTACCGGTTCGCAATGGGATAGCACGTGCACAGAAGCTTCCGGGGCGGTGGGCGATGATGACATCCCGGGGAATGGGCGGGACCTCTTGCCGGATTTACTACCGGTTCTTGCAAACCAGTCTGAACTGGGGGCAACCCACCACTGGCAGAAGGTAAAAAACACATTACTTCCTGGTTAAAACCAGGAAGTAATGACACATGAGCAGGTGGGCGGAGCTTCACTCCTCCATTGCTACCGGATTGTCAAACCGCCGGCCAAGATCGCTACCGGACCAGGCGATCCAGTCCGATCCGGGAGCATTTCATCCTTGATAGATATATATATATATAAAGTGTTTTAACGAGACACCTGGTCTACTCCAACATGTGGGAGAGAGCTCAGGCTGATGAAGGGAGGAGAACTTGTGGCTCAGTGGTTAATACAACTGCCTAACATGTAGGCAGCCCAGGTTTGAATCCAAGTAAGGGTAAGGCTGGCTGATGAGAGCTAAGAAGCTTGAAATAGATCTATACCAGTCTCCCTTTATTTCTTTATCAGTAAAATATATTTGGTATATATTTTATATATACATAATATAAATATATATTTATATTTTTTATATATATATATATTCAATGATAAAATACTTGTGACTCCATAAATGCCAAGATATCTTACGTTCTAAGAGCACACAAAAGAAACATTTGGGACAGAAATTCCTCTTATGCTTATTGCAGAATATTGCAGAATATCTGTGCATGCGTTTGTGTGCATGCATATACAGCATTCACCACAGCCAGTCAATTTTAGTACTATTTTTGATTAAGTTTTAAACATCAAGTATATGAAATGGATTCCCTCCAATTTAATTTATATTATTCTATGTGTATCTATATTAGTTTTATAGCCTCCCATTCTTCGAGGAGCTCAAGGCGGCATATTTCCTCTTCTAATTTTCCCCCGTGACAACAACCCTGTAAAGTAATTTGGGGTAGGACATGATGACTGGTACAAAGTTGCCTAGGTCAACTCAAAGCTGGATGTCTCCACAAATACATTAACCACTACACCATGCTGTTTCTTCTTAGACTTTGTCTTACCGCTGACAATTCTGAGGTGCTGACAATTTCCATAATAAAAGATACGCGCAACTGGTGAAATACTCAGGAATAATAACCCATCTTAGAAATTAATGTCATGGCCTTGACTTTTGCAATCTTCAGAGCACATGGAGGCAAAAGTATCCTCTTAAAGATTTCCTTTTAAATAAATTATCAGGGAACCAAATGATCACGTACATGTAAAAGACACAGCATGAGATTTTAACAGAACATTTTAAGGCAAATACCCAGAAATCCTAAGAGGTGTTCTATTCAGGTAGCTCAACCAGGGTGTCCATCCTTTGGTAATATGTTTTGTCTAATGTCATCGGAAGAGAATGAAGGGCACCCCTGCTCTGCTCAGAGAAGAAACAGAAAGAGAAGTTGCAGACTTACGGAGGAAATATTCTGCTGTGTCAGCTTCATACTCTGTGTCCTCGAGGAAGTGATCGATTTGCTTACACAGACCTTTAAAATTCCCTACAATACAAGAGAAGAAACAAATAAATGAGGACACCAGAAATTGGAGGAGGAGCTTCCTTTCAGTCTTCTTTATTTAATTTGATTTAATGTTATTATTTCACCATTCACCAAACGCCCCATTCCCTTGCTATAGTGGATTCAGATGTTCTACCCCTGCTATACTAGTATGTTTTCTGACTGCAAAAGTCTGCTGTTGAGTAAATGTATCTTTCTCCCCTTATCTGTCTCAATAAGAATTTACTTCACCACAGTGAAGAGAATGTGGAAGGAGATTACACAGGTATCAAAGTCACCTATTTGATAATGCTCATGACATAATTGTGCTGAGTTTCAGGCATCCATTTTAAAACAGCATATGCACACACAGAGTGACACGGAGACACATACAATTTTCTGCAGAAATCCAATTTATTAAAGATAATCATTTAAGACTTCCTTTTTACTTCTTTGAAGGTTACACATGAGCTGTTCTATACACATACAACCAAACCAAATGCATATGATGTGAGGTATGATGTGCTTCCATCCACTCCTATTTAAAATATTTGCTGATACAACATAACTAGTCACATACACAGAGGCACACCCATTTCATATTCATATACACAGGGATTAAATCTATGGCCTGTATTCAGATGTTGTAATTGTGAATGCCTGTAGCAAGACATTTTTCTTGATGCAGGATTTAACACTAACATCAATGAATATGGCAACTCTATACATGGCATTATGCAGAGGTGGGTTGCTACTGGTTCACCCAGTAGCAGCGGTGGTGGGAGGCTCTGCCCACCTGACTGGACGCTTCTGCACATGTGCAGAAGTTTCTGCGCATGCACAGAAGTGTTGCACGCATGTGCGCCCATGAGCAAATTGGTAGCGATGGGTTTTGAAACCCGCCTCTGGCATTAAGACAGGATATGTTCATATAACACATTGACTTTAATTACTGAATTAATTTATGTTCTGCCTTCATAGAATTCACTGAATCATAAAGTAATTAAATGACATGAATTCACACAGACCTTCTCACCCCAAAAACCTCAGCAAAGTTAAGGTTAGGCAGACTTCATCTATTATACAATCACTAAATGTTAAATTGACATGGATTAATCATGTTGTATGAAAACAGACAGAGAGTCTGCTTCCCAGTATTTACAATTCCATCTCTGATTATAGATATTACTACAGTTTCTGTTGAGAACTACTGGAGAAGACAGTTCACTATAGGCTGTTGACTAACTTCATTGCTGTCATCCCAGTGGTGGGTTGCCCCCGGTTTGCACCTGTTTTATAGAACCAGTAGTAAAACCGGCGGGAGGCTCCGCCCACCGACCCCGACATCATCATACCACTTCTGCACATGCGCAGAAGAGCACACGGCCCTGTTGCGAACTGGTAATAAAGGTAAGTAGAACCCACCCCTGTGTCATCCTTACTAAGTATCAGCTTCACCCAAGCTGGTATCCTACCAGTTGTTGGATTTTCCATAATTCCCAGACAACCTGGCTAAGGATTGTGTAGTCTGAGGAATTAAGGAGCTTGTACCATATTTTTGAAAGACATCAAGCAGGCAAGCATGCTATGCATAATGAACATTTTAAAATAAAAAAATTAGATTAAATTCACTATCATACTAGAAACATTAAGTGTAAAGGAAATGACTGCCTAGTTGCAGGACCAATTTATTCATTAGGCATAGTTGGTACAGTGCCTAGGGACCATGAAAATATTTTAATTTTTTAAAATCAGCAAGAATAAAAATGAAGTTATGTATTTTCATGTCTTGCCTTTCAGCCTTGAAAATATACACAATAAATAGAAATGTGCAAGCTCATAAATTACAAATAAAATATACACAACATTCAAATTAAAAGCTCAGTCATATATTAAATGCCACTGTGGAAATAATGGAAGTATAATTTTTAATAACCCTATTTTTATAGAGGAAGAGGCCTATGAAGGCAAAAGTGCCCAGGGCCCATAAAAGTGCTGTCCAAATGGCAAACAAATTAGCAACAGAGATGGCAAGCTACATATCTGACAATTATGCTGGTCTTTGACCATAGTAAATATTTAATTGATATTTGACAAAAGAGAATAAAAAAATCTTGCAGTCTGCCAGGTCGAGATCTAGCATGAATACAGATCTAATTTTAGCTTGAGGAATAGTCATAGATTGTGAGCAATCGATTTTCTATGTAAACAGCATTGTGGTTGGGTAATTTTGGTTCAATATATTGTGTGGGCTCAGTCAGTATGTATCTTATAAGGATCAGTGTGATTGGGTGTTATTTGCCATGGATTAGTGCATTGTGTGGATATAGCCTGAAGGCAAGGCATAAGTTAAGAAAATAAATTTTTTAAGAGACAATTCTTAGAAACCTAAGAAGCATCTTTAGAGCTGAGCTCAAGTCTTGCTGGATTCATGGGCACATTCATGTGGTTTTCTTTTGTGTGTTTCCTATGTTATATTTAATCTACAGGCCTGTTATTCTGTAGAAATCTCCCATCTGAATACTAACCGGGCCTAATCCTGTTTAGCTTTCAAACTCATATAAGGCCAGCCAATACTAATGGAGAAGCAAGGCCTCCTTATTCACATTTGTACCTAAAGTGACCATGATTTAAGATAAAAAGGAAATGGCAAAATTACATTTCATTAAATCATAGGCCCCAAAGTGAACCAAGGTCTCTTACTGTGTCTATTTGTAATAAAAGAGAAATAAGTGCTTTGGTGATAGTGGGAGCTTTCTTTCCACTACAAGTAGCTGGTGTAGATACAACCCTCTCCTAGTTTTCATAAGGACTACAACTGAGGTAAAATTCAAAATCTCTCCTGCCAATTGCTAGGGTATTTTATTTATTTATATTTATTAAGAGTTTTCATATTATAAAAAATAATAAAAAAGAGGGAAAAAAGAAAAAAAATATGCAGGAAAAGAAAAACTAAAGTTAAGGAGCATATAAATGACTTACAGCCTTTTAAACAGTAATACAATCACATTTGTCGCCCCTTCCTCTTAAATATTTTGCAAATCCCCACACCCCTTCCTTTTTAATTCACATCTTTTCTAATCTTCAAATCCACAAATCGTTTTTTTTTTTTAATTTTTTCAGCAAAAAATCCATATAAGGATTCCTGTCTTTCAAAAATACATATATTTTTTTTTGGTTCTCTGACCAAACTGCTCAGTTTTGCCTTTTCAGCAAGTTCGGACATTTTCACAATCAAATTTTTCTTCACTGTGGGAATATCATAATTCTTCCATTGTTTTGCATAAAACAATCCTGCTGCAGTTACCTGTACAATATCAATCTACCATATGTCTTTTTAAATTCATCGTCCATCAGTTCCAGTTAGCAATATTAATCTTTAAATTCCTTTGCCTCATTATGTCAATTTGTAGCCAAATTTTCTTAGCTTTCTGAAAACTTCCAGGGAAGAAATGATGAAATGAATATGGCTTCAATGAGAGCAGAGACTGACATGAAATAAAGAGCCTGAGTGATTCCTCCCTGGACAAGAAGACGACTGAGATCACCCACAAGTGCTACAGACAGTTGCTTCTCATGAGGAGACTACAAAATAGTGGTCTCTGATAAGTTTAGAGTACTAAGAGATGAGGGGGATGGCATTGTGGCCCAAATGGCAGTTTGGCATCTTTAAAAAAATGTCTGAGACGGTAGAGGTTCTCCTGATTGAGCAGGGGGCTGGACTAAAAAACCTCCAAGGTCCCTTCCAGCTATATTCTATTCTAAATTCTTAAAAGGACACAAGGTTCACATATTTCCTTTCTTAATCATCTTTGGAAATTGCTTGTTAATTGCTTTTTGGTTATTATAAAGTGTCACAATGGCATAATTTACTACATTGGGTGAGTTTCCTGTAGTTCTTAGTGAAAGTTTTATACGAGTTTAAAGATTTAACAAAATTCTTTTTGGGGGAGATAAACAGAAAAAAGTGAAAGTTATAAATGGACTAAGGGTCCAAATGGATTTGAAACCAATTATAAGAATCCTTTCCATGAGAAAATGCTGTTGTTTACAATATTATATATATATATATACATACATATATATATATATATATATATATATATATATATATATATATATATATATATATTATATAACAAATTTTCATAGTCTTTTCATTAAGTCCAGCATGCTTGATAAAATGTCCCCTCATGTTTTTTACATTTCCAACACTGACTTGAAATATCTTTGTACATTTTTTATAGTTTCTCTTATGTCATATTCCAATGATATATCAATTTATAAAAATACAAAACCCCGATCCAGTTACTAGAGTACTTTATATCAGCTCTTTATTTTTAAAGGAAATGAACATAGTGCCAAAGTTTGAATATTGTCAATATGATTGGGCTCCCTGAGCTTCTGTTTCCTTTTCAAACATAAATACTTCTGCAACAAAGGCATACTCTGGAAAAGGGAGTTTTGGATCTGAATGTTTTAGCAAAATAAAGGAAAAGAAAAAAAGAGTAAGTAAAACTCTAGAAATAGCTTGACAAATCAAACCAAAGATAATTTGTTCCTATAATAAACTAGAAATTCAGTTACTGCTCAAGGTCAAACTATGTTAAGCTCCAAGGATCTCAGTAGACCCCATGCATTAATATTGTGCAGCAACTTGCCATGTGGATCAACTTTAAAAAGAAATATTCACTTGGCATACAAAAAAACTCTGAATCCAAGGTTGAGTTGCAGCAAAATGGCTTGTCCAGTGCACCAGTTTAAAGTGGCCTCTAGGTGGCAGTGGATCTATTTCACTGGCCAATCCTCATAGATTCTGAGGAGACTGGTAGCCATTTTGAGGAGTTGTCAATTAAGTACAGCTGTGACTGAAAACTGCAGTCTTAAACTTCATTGGCCAAACAATAAAAGAGTTTTATAAATGTTATGTGACATCAATAGTGAATCATGGTTACTGAAATCTAACACAACCTCCTGGTATCCTGACTCAACAAATTACAAAA